AATTGCCCTTTACCGGAAGGGTTATTGCAAACCAGACTAATAAGTTTAGTTCTAAAATTTATTTCATTTACCGGTAATTTAAATTAATTTAAACCAAACCGTTTCAAACCAGCCATAATTAGAATCAAAAGCATATAAACAGAAGTTATTTAATTAAACCAAACAAAACTTAATTTAAACTAAACAAAAAAGAAGCCATAATAACTTCTTCATAACAACGTCAATGGCGTTTCCAGAGTAACAGTTTTTTTTTTCTTTTCATTCATGGCAGAAATAAAAATTGTTTATGGTCATTGGATATTTGGTAAAAACAAATGGTTATTTGGTGTTGAGAAAGGAACGAGAAGTAAATCTATAGCCGTAGACAACAAAATTAGTTATGAAAACTTTTTTCACCTGGTGATTAAAGAGTACAAGGTTATTGAGTAGATTTAGGACGTGGAATTGAGCTACATGTATCCGAAAAAAATTTGGTGACGTTGCCACAAAATACACCGCCTGTGGATATTAATAATCAGAGGTAATTTGCTGGATTTTTGGAACAGCTCAAAACAGAGGTAATGCAAGTATGTCTCGAACTTAAGGAACGATTTTGGAAGAAGATAAAGATGCAAGTGATGATAAAAACGAAGGCTCCATATTTGATTATTGTAAAGACGTAGATGGGGTATCTTTAGGTGACGAGTACTTTGCATTGAATGGGATTCATGCTGAAGAAGAAGAAGAAAGATGGTTCCGGCAAGCATTCCAGTAAAAAGAGATAATGATCATGTTAAGATTAAAAAGGAAGAAGAAGAAGAAAGATGGTTTTGCATGTGCAAGCAGTCCAGTAAAAAGGGGTAATGATCATGTTAAGTTTAGAGAAATAAGACCATCCGTAATGGCGGATCCTTAGGGAGAATTCTTAGGGAAATATTAATTTTATAATTAATGGGTCTCATAAACAGTTAATGATTTTATCCTTAAAATCCTTAAGTAAGGATTGATAAGCACTATTCGTGTGATCCACTGCCCACATGGCAGTCCATGAGTGGTCAGTTTTTTTTTTAAAGAAAAAATCTGAAATATCCTTACATAATCCGAAATACCTTTTTTATTTTTTTCTAAGGATTTTCCCAAGGATCCGCCATTGCGAATGCTCTAATAATTCTTTTAAAACATAGTCTATGATTATTGAGCTTGGTACTCAACGACACTGCATTTTAACATGCATTGTATCGGCGGATAAATGCATACAACATGGCGCCAATGATGTGATGGAATTTGTCTGTAAATTCTTGACCTTGCTTAATATACGGCGCTTCTATTTAAATATACGACTGAGAATGAGTAGTAATACTTTCTCAGAAAAGAATGAGTAGTAATACTTTTGAGAATGGCTTAATTATCATCACTTTTCTTATGGGATTACTATATATAGAATATACTATATCATCATCATACTCATCATATATATACACTCTTCAGAAGTTCACATGATCAACTTCAAATTTTATAATTATGCAACTCAATATTTTGGATTAAGAGATACATAATTATACAAGACTTTATAAAAACAAACTTGAAAGAAAACTTTTAAAAAATATAAATCGATCCTCCAAGTAATTTGAATTCCGTCCCGGGTAAGAAGAATTCACAAAATACACCTCAGATACAGGAATTCCGCCTCGATGTTGAAAGACAAAACACAAAAACAAAACATGTTTATGAATATTATATATAATCAGCAAATCCTGCCGTTGTAGCAACGGAGAGGGCCGGCAGAGGAAGTGAGAGAAGGGACGAGAGAGCCGTGGGACACCGGAAACCTCTCTGTTCTTCCGTACAACGGCGTGACGGTTCCGTATCCAGACTGCACGAAGTAAGCTCCATTCTTGAAAACGTCTTTTGATGTTCTCCATTTCCAACTTCTCCAATCATATCCGCTATCTATTCTCTTTGTCACCTACACACATGCATATACAATAAGCTCTTCCATCTCAAAATCAATTGATAATGAATATATACACATCTATACATCTTATAAATACGTTATAGATTTCATGTTATTGAGGGATATTCTAACCGTAATTATTAATATATATATACGTTATATATATATGTGTGTGTGTGTGTGTATAGTTATAGAATTCAAAATTTCAATATAAATTATATAAATATACAGATCTTTAAACGTTAAATTACCTGTTTTGTGCTAGGGTTATCAGAAGCAACGAAGTAGTTGCCTTCGCTGAAGATAGTTGGACCAGCACTTCCTCCGATCGCATACATTTGCCATTTCTCGTATCTATTGTTAGCTACATGCGCATACCCTAACCTCACTCTGCCACGTCATCAACCCCATATCCATGTCAACAATTTGAAGATTTTATTTTGTTAAGACATTGATAACGTATATAATGCATACCTAGGCATTCTCTCAATGAGACCCGGTCCAAAATGGTTGAATGCAATTGTAACTCTCATAATCCTATCTTCCACGTTATTGTCATTATGCCCGAGCAACATCACCTTTATAATCACATATGAAAATAACATCAAATTCAGAATAAATACTCGCTATTATTAATTTGTAAAAATAACAATGTAAAGTTTAAATGCTTACTTTATCGTGCTGTGTGAAGTAATTATTAGAAATAGTAACGGCCGTTGAAGCATGTAGCACATCGATCAAACCATCTTGACACCGAGAAAAGAAACAATGATCGATCCAAATATGTGAAGAATCAAATATAGCGATAGCGTCACCGTCCGATCCTTTCCTACTTCCGATATGGGTCGGGCTGCTCCGTACTCGACCCGACTTACCCGGTTTACAATCATGGATACTTATCCCATGTATAATGATATGGTTTACATGTTGGATCGTTATGCATGACCCGTATGCAATTTCCACCTTTACTCCTCTTCCGTCGATGGTCTTGTAGCTGTTCATGATGAGCTCGTTTTGCAACACTATGACCATGTCACGTGCGAATGTGATCCATAGCGGTTTAGATTGGATCACGGCGTGTCTTAGGGTTCCGGGTCTAGGGTTTTCAGGGTTGTCTGATGGGTTTGTAACCACGTAGACCGACCCGTATTTCCCCCCTATGGCGGCTTTACCGAACCCTACTGCGCAATCAGCTAGAGCGCGACGGTTAGATGCCCAATTAGGGTTTCTACGCCAGCAAGAATCGATTGGGTTTAGTAATGGCTTTGGGGTTGGGGTTGGGTAATAATTATTACTATAATAAGCAGCCTCTACAAGAGGATAAGAGAAAGCTGCAAAGAGAAGTGAAACTGTTAACAAGAGAGAAGCCATTTTTGCTTGAAGATGGGGAGGCTTGATTTGAACTATGTGTGTGCAAATATATATATACACGACATGGATATGAGCCATAAAATATTATACAATCATCAATTAGCATTTAAGTATATGATTTTATGTATATAAGTTTGAAAGATGAGAAGGTGGGACACACGGATTGTAGCGCTAAATGAAATGAAACTTATCTTATTATTTGAATTTAAATTGTTATAGAAGTACTTATTCGGTCGGTGCTCCTAGTTATATGTAGACGTGGTTGCACGAGCTTGAGATGACGATGGGTTGGTTTTGACTTTGCAATTTATACTTCAACTTGTTTAATACAACGCTCTTTTATTGGAATACGACTGAAAACAAGTAAGAGCATCCACATCAATGAACCCCCTCTTGGGGTTCATTGAATCATTTTTTTATTATTAAAAATTTTTTATTTTCTTTTTTATTTTATTTTTTAAAAAAAAAATAAAAAAAAAATCTAGACCAATCCCGAGCCGCCACGTGTTGAACCTCAGGAGAGAGGGGTTCACCGGGGTGAACTTTAGGAGAGAGGGGTTCATAGGTTTTTGTTATTTTATTATTTTTTTTTCTTGATTTCCGTGTGAACTCCCCCCCCCCCATGAACCTTCAATGGGGGTGCTCTAACATATATAGAATAGTATCTGAGACGGCAATTAACAAATGGCATTTTTATAGCTTTGTATTTGCAGAAAAGTCAACTTCCGCCAGAATACGTACTTCTTTATGAATGAAAAACACACAGCAGATTAAAGAGCCTAGTTTCGATCTCGGCCTCTTGGGACCTGTCGCCCGTGGGTTATGTATGAGCCCAAAAATACGTACATTTACTTTCTTAGATATCGATTTAAAATTATAGAGTAAAATGGGAATACGATAATGTCGGATTCTAAGAAAAAAATATGATTACTAAAACCCCCAAGTTTGGTAAAATATAATTAAGGCATAAATAATAATTATACAGATTATTATTGTCTAAGACTATGGCATTCTTAATTATAGTTGTTTTGAAATGACTAGACTCAAATCAAAAGGAAAAGAGCCCATTGTTAATTTCAAAAGTTACACTTCAGGAAATTCTTTGCTTTACATGTTATAAAAAGTTTACTTTGCAAAAATATATGTATTATGACTCATTCCGTTCTTGATATAACTCTTTTTTCTGTAACAAGTTATAACTCTTTTCTCTTTTTTATAAAATAAAATAATGATGATATGTAAAGGTAAAAATGATTTTTTTTTTTTTTGTAACTGTAACTGGGGTAAAATGATATTTAGCAGACGTATTATATATAGATATAAAAAAATAACAATGAGATGAATTCTGTTGGAGTTCTCCAAATACCTATCAGATTCTCCGTCTTCACCAACATGATGCATCTGCCCAAACATCTCAAAGGAGAATCAACCTTTTTGCGCAAGAACAAAGCAATTCCTCAAAAAAAATTGAGTTATATATATTCTAAGAGATTCATTTTTGTAATAGTTAGACCCAAAAAATATTAAAAGTGACAAAAGGCTATTGAATGAAACATTCATGCATGCCACCATCTAACTTAGAACACTATCATGTAAGTTTGAGATGTTCGAGATGCTTTTGATATTACTACTGATAGTTTACTCCATAAGATTGCAAAAAAGTTGTAACATGGTTTTATATGAACTAGTAAAAAGGCTCATGTAAACGTTATATATTGAAGATTAGTACATTGGGTTATTTTATTACATGACACGTGAACATAAAAACTAACAAATATGATGACAAACTTTTACAATACCCTTACGGATTTAAATAATAATTTGACCACCTTTATTTGAGCTAGATATTTTTTTTTCAGATTGTAATATGAATGTAACCCAATTTAAACCAACAAATTAAACCCTTTTTTCTCAGTAATACTCCCATTGTTTCTTTAAGCATAGCTGCACATCCCGTAGGCACAAGATCTCCCTTTGTTGCACTTCTTAAAGCAACCCCCACAATGTCTCCTATCAAACATTGGGTTTACACAATATCCGTTGCAACAAATCTCAGAGTACTGACAGCTTTTCCCACATCTTCCGCAGTTCAATTTGTTGGTCCTCATGTCCACACACCTCTTACGACAACAAGCACGGCCTGAACTTCCTTTGAGACGACACACTTTGGGGCTTTTGTCACATGTCATTGCGCTTGTACGGTTCCCACCTTTTTCCCCTCGTGTAGAGGCAATCAACCTACCATATCTGTCTCGGTGGTTCGCCTCAACCCTTAGCGGTTCGCTAAGTGTTATACCAATGGCTAAGACCATTAGGATCACCACAACGAAATAGGATATCTTGAATGTATTCATTGTTATTCTTGGCGTCTTTCAAGAAATCAAAGGAGAGCAATTGCAAACAATTATTTTTTTTTTGTCTCGGAATGTGTTTGCGTGTGTTTGTATGTGTATGAATATATTTGGATGAAGAGTAACGAAGGACGTGAATGGTATTTATACACGAGGGAATGATGCCACAGGTCAACGAAGAAGTGTTTGAAAAATTAGTTCTTCTAAGAAATATATTTGACTTTTCTCTTTTAGTGGAGTGGTCAATTACGAAGGGTTACAATTTCAGACGAATGAACGAGTTAGGCTTCCGTAGAAAATTCAATAATTTCCTAAATTAGGCAGAACAAAAGTGGAGCACATGAAATTCATTTAGATCATTTGGAGAGAGTTTAGCAATATAATTTAATTTGTGGTTATTGGTTAACTGGAATATTTTTGGCGAAGCCTAAACTAATCGCCACAAGGCCCACAACCTATATATGAACCGCTTCATCATCCATCATTAATAAAATTTAACTTCTAAATATAAAAAGGTTTGCAAAGATCCAAAACCATGAGATATCCGAGTTCTTTTTTTTTTGACACTGAGATATCTGAGTTACAGTATTTTGAAGCTTTTTCCCCACTAGCTTGACAAAAAAAATAAAATTTCCAACTAGCATTGTAACGTCTCGATCGCGTATGGTAGTGAATGTTATCTTCTTTTTTTTTGTGAGAATCAATCAGTTAATTTAGCATCTTGAAGTGCTTACCTCTTGGTTATGTATAAAATAGGTAGTTAAATACGTTCAGATGTTAGCTTGCCTGCATTCTTTAGCATCTCGAATAGCTTCTAAGAACTCAACTAGTGGCATGAAGGTAACAACTTTAATTGAGCTGGTATAATGCACATCAACTAAAACACATTACAACATACGTTTTCTTTTTGGGTGAAAACATTAGAACATGTTTGAAGATATATATATTACAAACGTTAAAACGACTGATTCTTAGTGAATAGACTGAATAAAAAATCAAAGAAAAACCGTGGTATATAGTTTAGCATTTAGTAATGTGTCACTACGACATTTATAATTTACAACGATAAATACGTCAAGAACGTGTTAATATAACAAAATTCACAAAGATCAATACGTCAAGAACAGCTGAATCGCTGTTCAAAGTTTGACATAACCTAACTTAAAGCTGTTATAAGAGCACTCGAGTATGTACGGTTTGACTTGGTATTTGGATAGATAAACTCGTTTAGAAACAAATATCTTTTCTCCTTTTTCTTTGCAAAAGTTCCAATGTAGCACAAAGGCTAAACCGCTGGCCCATCGGCTGTTATACAATCACCATGACGATGCCGATTTTACTGTATTTTTGAGGAAACGTTCTTTATTTTTCTTAATACTGAAAAAGCAACTCAAAAAGTCAAAACCAAATTAAATTGTACTAATATACAAAATCTTGAGTGAATAAACAAAGAGATCTCCAACATGGTTGATTTCGTTTTCTATACCGTTCAAAACCAACCCGGTTAAGTAAAATTAATTGGTTCTGATTATCCCTATGATGGTGAACGCAAAGAACCGACGCTAGCATGACTAGCCGCCGGCGTAGTTATCCGAGACTGACGTTTGGTCGGCACAGTAACACAGTCATCGTCTGTATCTCCGAGGCAATAACCGGAAATCTCAGACCGAACATCATCATATTCGTCATCTTTAAAAACCGGATGAATATATGCTTTCTTAAGATAAGGTTTCAGGTTAAAGTTCGGTTCTCTTGCTTTCTCCAATGTATCTTTAACCATAGCTTCCTGTAAACCAATCCATATCAGATCAACAACAAATACTTCCTGAACTAGAACTTATAAACCGGTGATTTAACTAACCTGCAAGGGATGACGAAGAAAAGCCGGTTCGAACCGGCCTTTGCAAAACCGGTGAAAGAAAAAAGTTAGAACCGGTAAGGCGATAAGGAAAGGAGTGGACTGAGCAGCTCCTTTAGTGCTCATTAGTCCCAATAAAAGAATTTGTGAGATGATCAACGCTGATATTATACGTCCATGAACATCTGGCCAGAACCTACCCGCGCTTTCGTATTCTTGATTATACACATTTATAATCTGCAAAAACAACCAAACCAAAACAACTTGTGTGATCAAATCTAGAAAATGTTATAAATACTAAAAAAATAGTTCTTGTTTTTTGAGTATTAACCTGGTGACGAAAAACGAGGTAAGCCAATGCAAAGAAGATTATAATGAAAGGGAGTAGAACAGGAGTGACCGGGGCATAAACAAGACCGAGGAGGAAGTAGAGTTGAATCCTAGGCTCTGTCGCATGGAAGTTGATCTGTCCAGGGTTCATAGCTTCTTCTCTATCTTTTTCAGTTTTCACCAAAAAAAAGTTCTTTACATGGAAAAAGATTAGAGGTTTCAGCCTCAGTATCTCCCCTGCAACTCCCGCCCAACCATCCACCATTATATATGTTATAAAGAACGTTGCCTTTATCGGTATCGCTACTCCAACGGTCCTAGGGATCCTAACAAGTCACAAGCACATAGAAACATAAGCTCAAAAGACCAATACACAGAGAGAAACAGAGAAGAGGAGAGACGTACTGATTTGCGGATTGTTTAAGGAAAGAATCAAGTTGTTCAAAAGCTGAACCGGTGATTATGCTTCCTAGGAAGACATTGATGAGGTTGAAAATGTAATAACGAAAAGCGGCTCTTCTCTCTAACGATGATAACGATACAAACCCTTCGAACTTGGACATGACCATCAAGATGCTTGGTAGAAATATTATAAAGAGTTTCAACACAATACCAGGAAGAAAACCTTGGATAACTGATTTAACAAGATCACTGCCAAAAAAAACATAACAAACTCAACATCTCATTCATACATAACTAACTAGCCAAGACTCAAGAGAGATAGAGAGAGAGAGAGAGGGAAGGGCACTTACTTCTCTATGATGGGTTTGAGGAAAGGAGCAGATTTCTCTATGCCTTCAATACTTGCTAAGGACTGAACAAATGCTATTGGGATTATGAAGAAGAAAGTGAGGAAGAAGAATGCAACGTGCATTATAAGTCTTCTCACTGTTAAAGAAACGTAAGGAATCGCTAGGTTTGACCAGAACACTTCTCGTGCCTCTGGAGCCCACTCAGTTAACCATTCGGTTGGGTTTCTAGACTGTTGTGTCTGTGCACAAACCGCAGCACCCCAACGTGTTTTAAAAGAGACAAAAGCTGCTGGCATTACACTCTTGTCATCTTTTTTTACTTTATTTCTTTCCTCCGTTATCTAAAAAAGATAAAATCAGTTATTTCCAACGGAAAAAAACAGTTGTAGAAAGAAGTGAGAAGATAGTAATACTTACTTGGTCGTTTAGTTTCTCTATCTCAGCTATGTAATGATCAATGGCATCAACTTTCTCTCCCCATAGTCCGAGAAACCCTGTCTGGATTCCCAAAGAAGACAGCAAAGAAACAGTTTAGAGACAAACGGGTCCTGGGCATAGGCCAGTGAAGCATTGGTCTATAACCCCAATTTTTTTTGAAAAAAAATAATACATAGATATAAATCTCCAAATTTATATATTTTTAAAATTATTGAAACGTTTATTAAACCGTCTACAGTTCCAAAATCTATCTAGCTCAAGGGCGGTCATGAACCAAGCCTAACCAAAAACATTCGCCTTAGATTCCCAAAATTTTTGAAAAAAAAATTACATAGACACAGTCACACAGGCCTTCCTACAATATTTTTTAGGCCTCAAATTTATCTATAATAAAAAAAATAGTTCAAATTTTTCATGAATCTCAGAGCCGACCCTGATCTAGCTTGTTTAAGTTTGTGTCTAAGAGTCTTGAAATAACTACCTGAATCATTGGTCTTTGATCCTTGTTTCTAGTATATTTCAACTGGTAATAGTCAAGCCAGTTCTGTGTACTCCTCTTCTTCTCTACTAAATCCGCCAAATCGTTTGCATTGTACACAACCTAGACAATCAAGTTACAAGGATATTTAAAAACGAAACCCAGGACAAGAAGACTGATTTTTTTCTGAGTAATGAGAGGTATAATAACCTGATGTGTAAGATAATGATCTGGATGGTTTACAAGGAAGAAATGCTCCACACTCTCACTAATAGACTCATCTGGATCCGATGGTACATTCCTAACCAAAACCTGTGAAACAAAATTAACCGGGTCAGAACAATGTTACATCAAGAAGAAGAGCTGATCATCGTGTAAGTAGCTTTACCGTGAATTGATCAGGACGTCTTTGCTCGGACTGGAGAAATGATAAACGCATAGAAGCTACTTTCTCATACTCTTTCATTAAAACAAAGCAAGTCCAGAATGTGAAAGCATAAGCCATCACGAGGTGAGTCCAAAACCTCTCTGATCCACGTTCGATATTAGAGATTGATAACTTATCAATATTACTAGATGTTACGTTACGTAGCTTTGCTAGTTCCAGCCCGTCGCTTGTCCAATTAACAGGTACAAGAATAGACCATGCAAGTAATGCTATAGGGACAAAGATTTTAAGCCTGAAAAAAAAAAAAAAACAGAGCATAATGAAACAATGCAAAATCAACAAATATTTTCATAAGAAGAGGTTCAAAACAATTAATACCCTGTCAAGTAAATCCTCAAGTAGACCGCAGAATCCAAGCCGGCATGATCAATAAGCTCAGGCTCAGGCATCTTTAGAGCCGCAGGCATCCAGTTCAAGAACCGTAGGTAAGAGCCTAAGTTTACATTGACAAACTTGCTGACAAGAGCACCTGAATGTAACGGGCTGCTTCTTATACCTTTGAGATACCATTTAGGAAAATAAACTCTGTCGTTGAAAGGTTGTATCCTCAAGATTGCAAACGCCAATAGGAAGATGATGGCTGTTAGTATGTTGATCGTTGCAGCTACTCCAATATCTCCTAGTGTTGCCATCTCTTAATCTTTTCGCTTAAACTATCACAAATCTAAAAACTCTGCTTTAAAATTCGATTTCTTTCACCTGCAAAATATTCAGGCCTAAAATCTATCAAAACCCTTTGAATTGAAAGACTTCACCAAGAAAATATTCATCCCTAATAATATATATATATATTATGTTATTTTGGTCAACATATATATTGTGTTTCTTTATTCTATATGGAAATTTATATTATAAGATTTAAAATAAAACGATAAAGTCAATTAAAATCTATCAAAAAAGGAAATTGGTAAGGAAGAAATGGTGAGAGATTTACACAGCATTCCCAACAAAAGAACAAGAGATAATTCAATTTCTACAATTAAGTTTCATTCCTTAATAAGTCTCTTGTTCTTCTCATTCTAAAATTCCTTTAAATACTCATTAAAAAATAGATAATACTGTATATATAATGAACTAATGAAACAGTGACATAAAAGTTCAGAGATATGATATTCAAAGTTACAGAGTTTTAAGATAATGATAGAGAAACTACCAAATATAAGAACTGAACTGAATTAATTTCCTTGAACAAGATCTATTAGAATTTATTTTCTGCAGTAACGTCTCTTTTAGACAATGAAAGTACCTTTATCATGCAACTTCTAGAAAAGGAATCTAACTACAAGATTATTAAGAAATATGGGATTATATCAGTTGAAGGATAAAAGCTGAAACAAACCTAGAGAACCAGATTGGTCGAGTAAGTGTTTCTTTGGATTATTTGTCACTCCACGATGACAGAAGCTTGACAAGTATTCTCCAAACTCTTGTAAAATCACAGAAACAAAGAACAGAGAAACCAGAGAGATAGATCTCTAGAAATAGAGACGTTGTGACTTTTTTTACTGTGGAAAACGCTGAAACAACACGGACGAGGAGGAAAGAGGCAGGATGAGGAAGGAGAAAAGTTTTTAAAAACCTTTGACACCGAAAAGCTATTTGTTCATTTTCTATATTCTTTATAAAACAGTGGGTGAACGAATATAATAAGGTGACGTTGGTCCCCGTATTGTCTCAGGCTCTTTCTTCAAAGTTGAAATCGATATAGAGAACGCTTTAAATTCACTATTTATATAGGTGTATTTGTTATGCGTTAAGTGACCCCATACTTTTTATATTAAATTGCGTACTATCCCCATATTCATCTTGTTACTTTTTACAATCTCCTATAAATATTGGTAACGATCTCCACTATACTGAATTTGATATGTTAATTATTATTCTTTTAATACGGTGATTCTATATAAAATGATTAGTTAAGATATGGCGACTTTCAAACAAATAAAATAGCGAAAAACATTCATCTAAATATTTTACATGCATTAGTAAATTTATTCTGAATGATCACAATTTATTGATTTATTCGGTATAAATGTGAGAAGTTAGAGGAATAAGCTAAAATGCATGTAAAAGAATGCAATAGAACTATAGCCATGTAATCAAAATAAATAAATAAAAAAAATTAGTAGATGGCAAGTACAGTTAAACCTTTATAAATTAATAATATTGGGACTTTGAAATTTTATTAATTTATAGAGATATTAATTTACCAAAGTTTCCTTATTTAGATTTTTTTATTTAAGATATATTTATTCTAAAATAAGAAAAATATTTTATTTTAGGGTATATATTTATTATCATTTTTTTGAAATTTGACATTTATATTAAATTTCTTATATTACTTGGTGTATATAATATATATTTCATAGAATTTAAATATGGTTTTAGATATAATATTACTAAATCTCATCAACAATTTATTAAGTGTCAAGAAAATATAAAGAGAGTTTCCTTGTAAATATAAAACAAAGAATATAATAATAGATTATTACTTATATAAAATATGTATAAATATAATTATTAATTTATAATTTTAATGGGACTATATATTTACATAGAATTTTCTGAAAAATTATTATCTTATTATTTTATCGATTTGTTTCAAATTTTGAACCGGCTCAAATTGGGACCGGAAAAATTTATTAATTTAAAGAGATTATTAATTTATCGAGTATTAATTTATAGAGGTTATACTGTAGTTATCAATCAATTGATTAGTCAAATTATCACTAGATTTGATTCATAAATAAGCTAGCTGCCACGTGGGGGGTGGCAAGCGTTAGATGCTCCGTGGGGCGGCAACGGTGGACTCCGCGTTCGTGTCACGTGGCCTTCTCTTTTGATTCAAGCGAGTACAATGAAGAATGTCACGCGCCGTGTACTCGAGCGTGGGTGCACTACCCAATTAGAAATAGTTTTATAAACTATAAAGGGACAATTGCCAAATACCTGAACGCCGACGTTTATTAACAAGAGAGCTTGTCAACGGTAACCACAGTTTGAATAAATAACTGTCTGAACAAGTTACAAATTTTGGATGTATTTACAAAAAAGCATTATGGTTTTTTTTTTTTTTTCAATTTACGGAACTGAAACCATAAAATTTTGGTTTCTAAAACACCATATGCCATATATTCGGGGAAAAAATTGCCTAAAAATATGTCACATGACATTAGAGTTAAAGTTTCTTTTTATTTTAGTTGTTCTTTTTAAACAATAATTGCTTGAAACGTTCTTGGGAATTTAGGGGTGGGACGGATCTGGATATTCGTCTAGATATTGTAATATCCGCGGATATCCGAATTCGGATCCGTAAAAATAATTAAAAAATCAAAAAAATGAAAAATTCTAAAAATAATACATAAACTAAATATATAAACATAATTTATGAAAATTATATGACATATAATACTATTAATCTAAAAGTAGAATATTATTAAACTTATTTTATGTATAAATATTAATATATCAAATATAATTAATAACAAAATAAAAAGTTAATATATTTTTAAAAATACGGATCCAAATCCGGATATCCGGATCTAAAAATTAAGATATATCCGGATTCGGATTCGGTTTGCACGGATCCAAGATTTTACTATCTGAATTTGGATCCAGACACCTCTGGATATCCTAATTTCGAAGTAGATCTTGAGTGGATCTCGGATCGAATCCGGATGTCGGATAAAAGTGCCAGCCCCTAGTAGGGATGTACATCTGTGATCAATTCTACTAAACTAAAATATGTAAAAATATGGATTTATCTGAGGTTTTCCTTTTTCTTATAAAAGGAAGAATTTCTTGCTTAAGAATTGACCTTATTTCTGATACAAAAAGTTAAACCTCTAGTGTGTCGGTTTATTCCAAATCATTAAAGGATTCTAAGCCTCCGTGGATATCTATATATATAAAACGCACACAAGGCAAGGGTCAATCAGATATAGAGAGCTATAGAGAAAACTTGAGCTAAGAATAAGAAAAGAAAAGATGATGGAGATCAAAGTGAAGACTCTAACAGGTAAAGAAATAGGATTCGAGATCGATCCAATGGACACAATAGCTAGAATCAAGGAAAGAATAGAAGAAATAGAAGGCATTCCTCCTCTTCAACAAAGGATCATCTACACTGGTAAACAACTTGCTGATGACCAAACCGCCAAACATTACAACGTCGAAAGTGGTTCTGTTCTTCATCTTGTTCTTGCTCTCAGAGGTGGTTTTTGACGTTCTAATACAATATTCAGTTTAATTACGGCTATAAACTAGGGTTTTGATCCTTTTTTTTAATTTTTGTTTTTTCTAATCCGTTGTTTATGTCTATTGACTATTGGTTTTTCTTTTTTGTTTCTGTTTGATTTGTTGATATTAATTGACGTTGGTTATGGAAATCTCTCCTTATCTAATGACAAAGATTGAAACCAACAAACAAAATGCATATCATATTTCAGATTTCTTGTTGAAACCTCAAAACCCTAAAACCAATCCTAATTAAAATAAAGTAACTAAAAATATGTGTTATCATTATTAGTACGTATATAAGCTGCATGGGTTACAGTTCTATTCGAATCTGCCAAATTCTGTGAGAAGAAAAGATCTGCAAACCATTCCGCTCACACCAAATAATAACGTCGATCCAAAACCATATTTCATTACATCAACTCAACTCCAACGTTAAAAGCCCTTTCTAAAAAAAAAATAAAAAAAAAACTCAACTCAACTCGAACGTTTTAACTTTTTAAAGGATTACAATGCCGGAAAAGGGTAAAAAAGATCAGATCACTCGGGAAAACGTTACAAAAAGAAAACTGGTGTTAACCATCTCATCAATATAACCAAAAAAAAAAAAGAAGAATCAATGTTGTTGATCATTACACATGCATTCTTTACATCTTGGGTAACGGTAAACACTGCGTCCAGATGGTCTAGCGAAGACATGTTTTGTCTGTCTAATCGCTTTCCTCACTCTCTTCTCAAACACGTTCCACGCTATCGTATTGTTCTTCAACAATATGTCCGAAAGCCTCCTTTTGTTCGGTCTAATCGTCGGCATCTTCCCACCTCCATAATAAATCCGATAACCCGACACAAGAGACGATAGCTGGCTCCCTGAATCCGTCATCGCAAAAGCGTTTGCCGCTGCACAACCGATGAAATCTAAAGCCGCTAGCTACATGTTTATAACACACAACATGTAACTTTTTTTAAACAAATTATTTGTCAGTCACAAACATAATTAATTGTTTTTTTCTTCATAATTAATAGTTTAAATATTTAGTTTCTTAATTAAACATAATTAATAGTTTAGTTTCTTAATTACCTGAGAAGAGAAGTTCTTGAAAGGTTGCAGCTCAGATGGAGAGAGTAGTTTCTCTTTGGTGACTAGGTTAGGGTATAAGCTAGTTAACGCAGCTAAACGTTTTGTTCCTCCGTATATATGTGCACCAGCTACAAAGACTCGTGTTTCACGGTTGAAACCAAGAGCCACGAGCATTAGCACTGCTTCTTCTGGTGTTAACGGACAAAGCCCTTCCGTTCTCAAAGCATCTGGAGATGGTAACCTGAAACAAACAAAAGAAAACAGAGCAGTTTAGGGTTTAGACGTGAACCACACGTAAGAGGTTGATGCTCAAGTTTAAAAGACAGAGAACAAACTTCTTTGTTTTGGTTAGATTTGAGAGGGAAGGAAAGTGTTTTTGGCGATAAGAATCCAACTCTTGCTGTTCCCTTTCACCTCCTCCGAAGTAACATAGAGAATGAGCCACCATGTCGATCTCAAACCGTAGATGAAGAGCAAGATACTTAGAAGAAGAAGAAGAAGAAGAAGAGGACGTCTTCTGCGTAGGAGGGTTAGAATTCTTGTCAAAGATTAAAGAAGAAGCGGATTTTGGACCGAGGAGATGCACGTCAAGTGGTGCAATGTAAGGTCCGCTGCTGTTACGTAACCTCTTCACTAGCAACGCTCCTGTTTCTTGTATTCTTGGGACAAAGTGTAACGCGTGGAAGTTACATCTGCACCGAAGCCTCTACTTCCAACAAAAAAAAAAGCTTATAAGATGAAATGAAGCTAATCAAAGTATTACCAAAAAAAAAAAGAAAGTCTACCTGTAAGTCAAAAGGCATTGGATCAAAGGCTAAGCGGTTGCTGAATCCAACAAAATGGATTATTTTGTTTTTGTGTAGTATTGGGAGAATGTGTTTCATATAGAAGTCTGGTTCGGCTTCTTTCATCAATTCCACATCCGTAACCTTTAAAAATATAAAGAAGTGTCAAACATGAACAAAACAAAAAGAGAAAGGAAGATGAGATTGTAAACTCACAACGCTGCCGATTGTTTCAAGATCCAAAGATTGAAGCTCTTTTGGTAGCTCCTTGACTACCCGAATATCAGGAGACAAGTACTTGATAAAATGCTCTTCTTGATATATATCTCCGAACTGACTATGATGTATCCAAGTTAAACACATCGTTACATGTAATCTTTCTTTATAATTAAATTGTCTCATAAAATGGCTAAGAGACAGAGGACGAGGAGCTTACAATAGTTACCTTGCATCTGTCCAAACGTCGCTTAGCATGAATTTTGGAATGACGAGAGTTGCATTGAGCATGCGAGCTACAACAACGATGTTACATACCTGTGAAAAAGTTCCAACGGTTGCATGATGATGACATGGAGATATTTCAAGAAGGCAACTTAAAGGATACATAAGGAGAAAGAAGGATACTTACAGCAACTCTTTGTTGATTAATCCCTCCATTTGCAGTTACCATAATATATCCATTTTTTCCATCTACAAATCAGAAAAGAAAAAATAAAACTCTATAGGAAAGAAGCTTTGATTAAATTTTAAAGAAAAAAAGTGAGTGAGAATGAGACCATCAGGAGACCAAGAACGTTCATCAGAACATGGCTTCCAAGCCAGAGCTTGTGCCTTAGGCTCCTGCCATAACTCTTTTGGCTCAAGTTTGTTCTGCTCCAATCACACACCATTAATTACAAAGTAATAACATAATGTGTTACGGATTAGGTTTTGGAGAAAAAAAAAAACGTTACCTTTAGCAAAGCCTGAGCGGCTAAACCCAACATTCTATCATATGTTCCATTATCTTTTCTCTTTGATTTTCCAAACTTTTTACGCTCATCATTCTAATTCACAACAAAGAGCATTGACACTTTCAATCAATTGTTCTGTTTTTCTTGGGAGACAAGAAAAAGCTATAATCTATTTAACCTGTGTAGAAGAAACCCATTTAGAGATCGCGTTTGGTTTCTTAGTGAACCCTTTTCGAAGCCAAACTCGTCCTTCGTGAAGACGAGAGAGCATTAACCAATTCACAAGAAAGAAGACACACAAAATGACGATTACGCAGATGGCTGTTGTAGCCGTTCTTTGCTCGTACCAAGTACGGATTAATCTGTTCTTCTTCCCTCGCTTTAACGTTTGCCTCGGACTCGGTTCTCCGGACAATGGGAAGAAACGTGTAGGGCTGAGGAGCGGGGAATAAGGCGGTGGAGCTCCGGTTACCGGAAGAATATCACGTGACTCGGGTCTCTCTACGTCAGCAGGTTTCTCATGTCCCATTATCAAACACACAAGTTCCCCCTTGTGTCTTTTTCTCTCTCTCCTCTTGTGGATACAAAAGGAGAGAGAGAAATAGAAACTAATCTAACGGAAGAAAGAAATTTTGCCATAAATAAGAGCGCGAAAGCTTTGCCGAGTTTAACGAAGTTTCTGTTCCTAACAGAGATTGTCTGTATTTCAGTCTGTTTATTTTAATGTTTGAATCCTTGGTTTTACTGCTAAACTTAATTTTAGACCCATGTTTGAAACTATATTCATGTTTCTCTCTGTCTTGTTTAGTTACTAACAGAAAAACACCATATACCCTTCCTGCTGTTGAAATTTGTTATCACCATCCAACATTCCAAGTTTCAACCAATGAACCGGACAATAAACTCTACCTTCCAAGTTGCATATATGTATGAGTGTATTTTGTATAAACATTGGAAACCAATAATAACGGAGTCAAGAGGCTAAAGATGTTAGTGATACAAGCTTATATAGAGAAGCTATAATCTAGTAACGATTGGGACTACCACTTTGGAATTTTGAATTAAATTTAAGCTCTGTCGTCCATATTATATAATCTTTTATTATATGTTGAAGAACACAGTAGGAAAAAAAAAAACATTTGATGAAAGCTTAACGGTAAGATGGAGACATAAAAGTTTCAAGAAAAAAAAGAAGACCAAATGTGAAAACCGAAGGAAAGCAGAAAATCGAGAAAATGAAAGCAAGGCTGGTTACTAGAGAGATTTATTGAGCCCCGAGTTCGAGAAGTAGAGTGTGGCTGAGAGCATCTGAACCAGGTCCTGTGAATTGGATTGGACCTGCCAGACAATAACATGTCCGCAGAGAGAACAATGAGGACCAGAAAAACAAAAGATGCATTGTTTAGAACATATAAGAAGATGTAACGAACCAGGGCTGATGTATCGGTTCTTCAAAGCCCACTCCTCGCGTAGCGATGCAAATTTCTTAAACGGTGCACCTACAGATTAAAAAAAGAACAAACTAAGCATATGACCCATTTAACAGCAGCAACAAGAACTATGAGAAACAAAAAGGGAATCAAAGAGTCACCTTCAAGTTCCACCATTGCTTTCTTAATCACAGGCTTGAACTTTCCTGCAAGTTGAAAATCAACCCAAGTTTTTTAATATCCATGGTTCTTACATAGTTTTGATGGTTTAATTATTATCATACCGTGTCTCCTCTCAACATCCATCAAGGCTGTGAGAGCAGTCCCACCTACAGTCCAGTCTTCCACAGGAGCAGCCAAGTTTCCGACCTGCGCAAATAAATTATTCATCTCATTTTAAGCACATACTAGTTTATCAAAGACAGTTATGTTCAAACACTAAACAGATACATAACAGAGGGAAAAGGTGGAGTACAAACCGAAGAAATCAGTCCGGTTTTCCCACTGTTGAGGAGTACTCCAGCGCCATAACCAAGTGCATAACAGTAGGTGGCATCAAAATTTGTAGGTAAACCGCATCTTCCTTCATACCTAAATCCATGTGGACAAAAACAATTAATCAAGATTGTGTTCTTCACATGGTAAAAAAGCAGTTATATATAGCGATTTGGTTGGTTCAAATTCAATGAAAAATTTGTGAGAGCAAGTACCCGAAGAAATGAGACTGGCCCATGAATTGTCCCTTGTATGAACCAGCTTGCTTTCTTTTCTCCAATTCAGTTTCAACCATTTGAATAAGCATCTTCTCAGTCTCAATCTTGGCCACCTATCACGATGAGAAACATAATATGATTAATAAAATATGAGAGACGAAGGTAACTGCTTCTTGGTGGAAAATTAGTATGAGTAGACTAAGATTAAATACCTGGACATTTCCATGTGGGTCTCTCTCGAGCATCAGCTGCTCCTGAATCGCTTCAGGCAGAAGATCAAACAGCTTCAGGGATTGTTCAGTGAGCTTCTTCTTCCACTGTCCACTTTCATCAACCACCTCATTTGCGAGAATTTCATTTAGTTCTGCGATCAGCTCCTGAACCTGAAAAAGATAAAAATTAATATTAATCATCAGTTGAAAAGAACCAAAATATTAATTGTTTTAAAGTGGTAACTTCTGTGTTTTGCGGCGGAAACACACCTCGGGAATGAAATCGATCAGACCTTCTGGAATCAGAATAACACCGTAGTTGTAACCAAGGTCAGCACGCTTGCAGATAACATCAACCATGTAGTCCGTGACATTCTTCAAAGTCTGCTTCTGGGCAGACACCTGCAAAAGGGAATATTTAAATATAGACTGATCAATGAGGCACATGGGAGGTCCCTCAGATCCAATAACCCATATTGAAATGAGATTATTTGCGTCAACGGAACAGTGTCACCAAAATGAATCTCAAATGATTATATCATCTATTAGATTTTAAAAATGTCTAGCGTAATTAGAAGTCAAACAATGGCATACCTCCTCTCCAATAATGGTTATGTTTGGGTGAGTTTGTAAAGCACACTCAAGCGTAATGTGGGAAGCAGCACGACCCATAAGTCGTACAACTGTAATGAAAATGTGATACAACATTGCACGCATCAGTAAGAATATAGGACACAACAGGAATGATGCAAGCATAAGTACTTCGATTCACCCAATTACTTACAATGATAGTACTTTCCAGTTGACCTTGCATCAATCATGACATTTCCAATCATTTCAGAGTAAATCTGCATAAGCAATAGACTGTTTTATTAGGCTTCCTTCGACATTTTTTTTGATGGAACATACAATTAGATTCTATACAAGGAATAGAACCAGTACCATCCGATCAGTTATGTACCAATCGGTGTGTGGAAAGCAAAATTTTAGAGTAAAGACGGAGGAAGTTCGAGGCAAAAATTGATCATAAGTCAGAAGGGAAGCTCACCTTGCAAGCTGTATCAAACCCAAAACTAGTGGGAACCTCCTTACATTTCAAATCACCATCAATGGTCTTGGGGCACCCAATGACTCGGGTTTTCAAGTTCTTACTCCTGATCACACAAGCCAAGAAATAAGTCAAATGATGAATCAGCAGAGCACCTAAAAACTGTTCACATGGTTCAAAAAAAGACATAGAAAGAGTAAACAGCAAGGTTACCTGAAGTTCTCAGCAAGGAGGCAAGCATTAGTGTTGGAGTCATCTCCACCGATAACCACCAACCCATCCAAATCTAGCTTCTTTGCTGTTTCTTCAGCTTGTTTAAACTACACATGTGGGACAACATTCAATTAATTACCCACAGAAAGTAGTAATAAATCACTTAATAAGCTACACCAAAAAAGAAACATATTCCACCTGCTCAGGGGTTTCAATCTTGTCCCTTCCACTGCAGATCATGTCAAAACCACCCTATTGATACCAAAAGAGCATTATAATCAAATCAACATGAAAAAACGATGATTAAATGTCTAGAATCCCACTCAAATAAAACAAAATTTGTGACAAGGATTCATAAAAGAAACGCTGTCTAAGTACCTGGTTCCTGTAAGGGTGAATGTACTCTGCATTCAACTCAACATACTTGCATTTCATGATACCAGCTGGTCCACCCTTGAACCCGTAAAATGTGCTTCCTTTAGCACGCTCCTGCAAGTAATCTAATCCCCAAAAATAAAATAAAAAATTACAGATCAAGATTCAACAATGCAAACAAAAAACATAACATGACATAAGAAAATAAACCCCTTACCAAACAAACCAGAGATCACATTGTGTCCACCAGGCGCCTGACCACCAGACAAAACAACACCAATCTTCAACTTCTCCCCCGACAAACCTCCACTCTGATCTGGAACAACTGACACAGATGGCTGTCCATACAAACCAGGAAACAACTTCGCAATCTCATCTGCAATCAAAATCATCACCATCCAAAAACTCTTACCAAAGTCTATAACAAAACACAGATCTGTACTACACAAGATCTATTACTTATATCATCAGATCAGAGCGGAGGAAGCCCTAACCTGGATTCCCGGCGGCAGAACTAGCGGGACCTTCGACGATTTTGAAGGCTCCTTTGAGCACAGAAGGCAAAGGAAGAACGTTGTTGATCCTGCTTGACTGAACTTCGCTGTAGACTGAAGCGCGTCCTTTCGCTGGAGCGTTGTCAGGAGATGCGGTGGTGAGATCTCTGTTTACGGCGGCGAGTGAAGGGGCCATTGCTTTTGGTTTTGGTTTCACCTAACTCTTCTTCTTTCTAGTGGGTTTGTTTTGCTCCCTCCTCTTTAGTGTGTGAAGTTCACTTTGAGATCTCCGTATTGGTGGGGGGGGGGGGGGGTTGGTGTGAATATATAGTCTTGACCTTAAGTCAAGATCTATTGACTCTTCCTCCAAGGCAAAAGGGTGTTTTAGGGTTTTCCTTATATTATATAACTTAAGGCCCAATAGTTAAAAATATGGGCCCTGTGTATTAGGCCTTAAGGTTCCACATCCAGACTTGGGCCTGGAGTTAGGTGTCATATAATCATTTTCTTTTCTCTTCAAATCCCATTTGATATCTCAAATGCCTACATTTTAGTAAAAAAACCTAGCCGTCAAGAGAGAAAACCGTTGAAAGGCAAGCCCTTTTTTTTTGGCAAACCGTTGAAAGTCAAGAGAGAAAAATCCCATTTTTTTCTGGAAAACCGTTGAAAGGCAAGCAAAAAAACCCTAGCCGTCAAGAGAGAAAAAAAGAGAGACTTTTTTAGTTTCAAGCCGATGGTCGGAGGCTTTTATAGCTCTGACATCGGCTTGTTTAATTCTTCTTATTTCTACTTCTTTAATATGTTTTCTTTATGGTTTTCTAGTTTGTTTGATTGCCAATTTATTTTGAATCTGGTAAAATTTTGGATTGTTCTTTTGTATGGTTTTTCCAATGGATTTGGAATGGAAACAACTTCGATTCAACTGAATCGTTTAGAAAAGATAATTGACAGATTAACTGCGGATGGTGGCGACGGGTCTTACCGACTTCAATCGTTGATGGTTCTTCACTTGATGGTGATGGATTTTTTGATGCAAACTATGGT